TCCCTCTTCAAGTTGGCAATCCAACAACGAACCCGTCCGTGGAGGATCAGGAATCAGAAAGGCGAAATAACAAATTTTTTCACTTTTATCCGATGTATTCCAACATCCAACTGCCATGCACATGGGCATTGTCAGTTTCACTATAGCTCTGGTGAATTTCAATGTCGAAGTCCTCTTGAAATCTTAAATAGTTGTTGTTGATTGCAGATGTTTCTAGAAGTACATATTAGTTTTAGGTATAAATAATGATCCACTGCTTATTCCCTGCTGACCGGACTTTTCCTTTAACTCTTAAAATATGATATTTAGATAATATGCAATAATAAGACAATGTAATTCTTTTTCCTTCTTTCAAATGCAAATTGTCTTGTTTCATTGGCAACTGTCTCACTTACCTCATATTTTCCAGAAAAAAAATGCACTTATTTTTATGAAAACATTGCTTATTCAGATTGCAATTTTTTGTAGTGTGAGGCCTTCTTTTGGCTGGGCAACCATCTGACCGCCCATTAGCTCATAGACTGATTTCTATTGTTTTAAAATGCTGAGAGATTCGCCTTCTGCAGGGAAAATAAAATATTTCCTGTCCACAAATAACAAAGATGCCAAACAGGTTCATGAAACTTTTAGCTAATCAAGTAAGATTTTAGGAGCCTTTTATTAACTGAACCATTAGTCGGTCAGTATTAAGTGATTTTAACCACCTAATGAGTGGAAAAATCAGCTTAAGTCCAGAAAAGAAACCAAAGGATCTTCTGAAAGACTTCTACATTTTCCACCAAAAAGGTAGTAGAAGATCATAAGGGTATCTACCTGTCTGATTCTGGCTTGTTCCTGTATCAGATCAGAAAATTTGGCTTCTAGTATTAACTTCCACTTAACTTCATTCCTAGAACTTTGAGGCGAACAAAGATTCATTATTTTCTTTCTTGGAGGCCGTTTAAAGGCTGACATCAGCCCCTGACCTTCACGCTGTGGGAGCAGTTAGATACCAAGTCTTTCCAGAACACCTTCGACATTCTTTGTGATTCCAACAGGTCAGTTAGGGATCAAAGCCTCTTCAGGCATTTCATTCTTTCAGAAACTTTATTCAGTATTTCAGCCAAGGCCATTTAAAAAGAAAATGTTGCTATATGATGCTTATTTGGACACCAATGTTCCTGATTGTTTTATAATGTCTGAAGTTATTCAGACAGAGTTATAGCATCTTTATCCGTGGAGGTTTAATGCATATGAGAAGTAGCTCAGTGGTGGGTTATGTTAAGGCAGCAGGATCCTGCTTCATATCCCAGACTCCACACTGCAAAAACTATTTAGAAATAAGTGAAAATGTCTTAAATTACGTGTATTTACCATTAATTTTAGCAGGTAAATACAATGATATTTTTACTCTTAAAGTCAGATAATTAGATAATGTGCACTTAAAATGAGACAATGCAATTGTTTTTTCTTATTTTAAATGTAAATTATTTTGTTCCATTGGCAACATGTCCCCCTTACATCCTCAACTATAGAAAAAATACATTTATTTTGAGAAAAAACTATTTGGATTTAAATGTTTTGCAGTGCAAGACCATAACCAGGGAGCATTCTGGGTCTAAGGCACTGAGGCCGCTCTCTGATTCACGGCTGATGGATTACAGGACAAATTTCATGAAATCAAACACTAAAATATGATCTAATATGCTGAAAATCATCTTGCCTGAACATTTTAGGAGCTTATGTAATAATGGTTTATCTTGAACCTTATCATGCAACAAAATAGATTTAGGAGCTGTATCTTATATCTGTTTAAAATTGGTTTATCAACTAATATAAAAGAAAATAAAAAGTTGAGGTCAAGTTTGGATTATCTCTGCAGAAAAAAACACTAACTGATACAAATTTGAATTTCTCTCTATATTTTTTTTATCAAGGTGTGAAATAATAAAAAAGTTGCTTTTTATATGTCTAATTGGAACAAATTAATTGTTTGTGTTGCTCAGATTTGCTCACGAATCTTTGAGCAAAGCTGGTTTAGATCACCAGTTTATCGGGCTGCTGCACACAGACTGGAGGTCATGACCCTCAGGGCTTTTTAACTGATTACTGTTGCAGTGCCAAAGCACAACAAACCAGCTTTAAGTTAAATGTCATGTCAAGTGGTGTTCAATGTTTTTTTTTTCTCATTCATACTTTAGAATCTCAGGTGAAGCTTAAAACCAACGGGGGAATAAAAACAATTTCCCTTCAGAAAAACACATTTTATTAAAACTGTAACATTTTTTCTAGTTATGGTGAAATAAATAAGTGAATGCAACTCCTCAGTACAAAATGGGTTTGAGCTTAAAATGGAGTAAAGTAAAAAAAACAAAAATGTAAAAACAGTCAGTATAAAAACCTTTCTTTGCATAGAGTACGCTTCCATTCAACTAAAAAGTGCTAAATAATTCATAAAGGCCTTATGTGTTACACAGCCAGCTAATATCTAAGCAGTGTCACAAACGGAAAAAACATGAGACAAAAAACAAAAAAACAAAAATGTGAAGTAAAGTGGCTTAGACAGGTAACTCAACATGTGCAAACTTACCGAGCAAACAGCAGACAGACATAAGCTGGTCAAATGACACAGGTGAAGAGTGTTTGAAACCAAGCTAGACCTAGAAGGAATCTTCAGAGCTTCAGACGTCACACCCATAAAGCTCCTCATAAGTACTGGAAGTACTGTGTGGACATCTGAGTCGTGGAACCAGAAAAACTACATTACAGTGTCACAGGACCTCCTGGATTGTAAATGAGGAGCTGACACCTCTGTGACTGCAGGTCTGTAGGAAGATCATCGTCTGGTTTCCCTCTAGATCTGTTGATTGCAAACTGTTCCCAGGTTCTAATCTGACTGCAGTGGTCCCTACTTTGTAAGATCATCTCTTAAAGCTGATATCAAATCTTTTATAGTAAAGTGTCTTAAAGATTTGGGATCTGGTAAAAGTCAACTTCATGCATCTCTTCAAGTGGGACTTCCTGAGACGGAAGGAGGCCTGCTGGTGGAGTTCTGCAGCTTTGGTCTCCTGCGTCCCGATGAAGGTTTGCTTTTAAACTGAAGTGATGAAAGAGCTTTCTTTGTGTGAGCTTCTCTCTTTGGGCTGTTGGGAGCTCCCAGAGTCTCAAAAAGTCTCTTCCGGAAAACAACTTTAAACTGAGAAAAGAAATGAGTGTGAGTGGTTTGTTTAAGGACATCCAAATCAAATTTAAAAACCATCAAAATGGATCAATAGGAGTTGAGCGCATCATACATACCATGTCTTCCACTGTGGTGGTGGTGGTGTGTGTTGCTTTGGTTGAAGCTGTAGTCGGGGAGACTGTACTAAGCTGCTTGGCTTTTGGTTTGGCACAATACATCTCCAGATGGTAGAGTTCACAGCCAGAGGATCTGCAGCACTGGTCTACTATCCCCTTCCCCCTGGGCCGAGGGCCATACCCAGACCAGGAACCTTTACCTGCAGGAGCAGACATAGCACATGTAAGATCACACAGAAACAAGGTTGACATGGATGAATTCTTCTTAGCTTCCCAAAATGGTCCACAAGTTGGAAAAAAAAACTGATTTAAAAAAATCTACGTTAGGACTGAGCTTTCATTAGAACCTCATCATAAAATAACACAAATTTAAGTAGAAGCATATATTTGAATGGTTAAAAAGTGCTCTTTGGGAGTTAATAATAGTTTACAGTAAATAACGGAACAACATACAGTTCTGTGTTTGGAACAAATCCAGCTGATATCTCATCTCTGCCACTGGGTTCCTAGAATGAGGCGACTGGATGAAATGATCTCATATAACTTGTTTATAACACTAGGTGAAGGAAAAGCACAGGTGGGTCTACAGCAGGGTGTGAACAGTGCACCTAGGGCCCCATTTGTGTGGCCCCTGATGTCACTTTAAGAATCATACAGGAACAGAAGGTTGATGCAGATGAAGACCTTTTATTTTCAATTAGGGGAAAACTATTACTGCCCTGTGATAGACTGGTGACCCGTCCAGGGGGGACCCCGCCTCTGGCCCGTCTACAGCTGGGGATAGACACCAGCACCCCTCATGACCCCAGCAGTGAAGGGATGGATGGAAAACTATTACCCTTGCATGCAACCTGAATTCTGTTGTTAGTTGTGAGAATCCATGTTGCAGTGCCCCCCTTCAACCGTTCAAGACCGACCTAAAACTTCCATCTGTTTTTGTCATAATTTCATCTTTGATGGAGGACCAGCAAGAGTTTCACAAGCATAAGTTGTTGTCATTTTCATTTCTTACCGTGATAAATTAAAATCTTCTTTCCAACACAAAGTTTATAGCCAAGCTTTCATAGTAAATAGGATCACATTTATCCAGTGAATTCATGGCTTTGCTGCACCCAGATCTGCTTCTCATTTTAAAAGGAAGATGGATCCAAACCCTTTTCTTATGGCTGAAAATGTACTAAATCTCTTAAATCAAGCAAAACAATCATTTTAAAATATTTTTTAAGGTTTGGGCCTACAATGATTTAGTACTTGCTTTACTGCGTGTTTCCTTTTTATTGACCAGGTCAATATAATTTTCTTTTTTCTCATATCATTTTGGACATCACTGATCTAGACTGATGACTAGCAATTTATAACTCTAGATTAAAATCTGAGTTAGATTAACCAAAGTTCCTCTCAGTATGGTTCTTCATCAGCTGTAAATCTCGACAGACTTGGCAGTGGAGTCTGGTGGCTTTGCCCGGTGCTCAATTGGCAGTAGGGTGTGAACCCGAGTCTATCATATGAAACCACAACTGACAGCTTAGAGTGGCCCCATTTTATTCCAGTTCACTCAGTTTAGATCATTTATCTGCTTCAAATTTCCATCAAAAGATGTTTCAGGATTAGCTGGTTCCACTTTAATCCAGTTCAAACAGTTAGATTTTTCTGTTGGATGTTGTTTTTAATTTTAATCTTACATTTTCTTTTCTTCTTTTTTTTTATCTTTACTTTTTAGGTCACCAGATCTGTACTTAATGGTTTAGATTTTATTTTTTCTCTTCTTGTGGCTTATTTACTCTTGTGCTTATTGACTGAATAATAATTCTTACCCAAATTCTTAATAGCAATTTTGCAATCAAATGAAATCTGTCTCCTGCATTAACCTGTAAGAGGGGTGCTAGAAGTGCACAGAGAGCATTCTGAGTCTAAGGGTCCCGTTCAGGGACCCAGAGAAGCAGCCTGTGTTTTACAAACTGCTAAGTGTTTCTAAATGATATATGAATATTTCTTGGGACTCAGAAGGCATCTGTCTACTGTATCTGTCTGCTATAGTATTTACAATGGAGAAAGTACCATTCATTTGTCTTCCAAGTGGAAAAGTTGTACAGTGGTGACTGAAGAAAATATACATTACTAAAACAGAGATGTAAAATGTAACTCAATCGGTCAAAACTGATATTTTTCTGGTGCATAACTCTGGGACATTTCAGAGTCACCGCCACTTATACAGTCAACCTGAAAAGGAAGAATTCATAACAAGTTTTCAGGAGAGTCTGAGGAGAAGCGGACGCCCCACCTCCTGCTGAGGGGTTCAGATTGAAGGGTTGATGTGATGACAATAAGTTGTGAAACTCAAGGTAATGAGCAAAATGATCACAAAATAAAATAAAGTGATGTTAAACATAAAAGTTTTTTTTTCTAGATACACGTTGCTGACTATAACAGAAGCTTTGTGCTGCAGCTTCTTCTTCTCCTCTCTGCACCTTTCTTTGTTGTTTTTTTACTAAAAACCGAGCTGCTGTCAGATAAGGACTGTTTCAACAAGAAGGATATCACACTCTGAGGCACGGTGTTCTGGAGATGCCGCTGCTGTGTTGGTGGATTGCCATTAGACTGATAGCAGATGCACAAGGTGGCCTTGGTCAGAGCAGGCCGAAGGTAATCAGGTGAAAGGGCTTCTGGGTAATTGTGTGTGCACTGAGGTGGAGATGATACAGCTCTAAACAATGCAACCAAAAGATTCTTTCTGTCCATAGTTATGGTTATGGTTCGGCTCCAAAATGAAAAGAAAGTGTTTCTGACACTAAGCTTGTATAAATCCTTCAGTGGTATACAGTACGGTATTTTACTGTACTACATTCTACTGTACCATATTTTACTGCACAGCATTCTACTGTACTGTATTTTACTGTATGGCATTTCAAAGTACCTTATATTTCTGTATGCATTTTTTGTGTCATTTTCTGTCCCTACTGTACAGACTCCCATTCGAAATGAAAAAATAAAATTCTATTCTATTCCATTCTGTGTGTAATATTTGTGTCAGACCTTCTTAGCATTTTTGTTTCAGGATTTTAATGTTTATTTACACAAAACTAAATCCTTTTGTATTTCAATTTCATAAACAAAGAAATAAAAATAAAAAAAGCCACCACAGAATAAAAGTAAGTTAAAATTTAGGTATTTTATTTCTGAGATCTTTTTTTTCTGCATTAGAAATTGAATGATATTTAATGAATTGTTTGTTTGTTTTTTTCAGGAGACATGCCCTCTTTTTTCAGCCAGAAATCCCTTTTTTAATCAGAACACTATTTATTTATTTTTTTTTGTATTTTTCTTATGCATGTCTTACTGTATGCATGTCTGCTTTGCAGAGTGAGTCTGGGTGAGACAACATGTCAGATATCTAGCCTGTCTTGTTCAACATGTGGCTGGTTAGTGTTAGGATGCTGACAGATGTCAGTAGGTAGAAAACTAAGGCCGGTCTGTTGTTTCCCAGTGACTTTCAGGAGGAATATACCAGACTGGCATATAAACCAAAATCTGGTTTGCCTCATGTTACACTGGGACTGATTGTGGATGTTTCTGTGCCTGGATGGGATTGAATGGATCTGATTTAATGTGTTTGCATACAAGTTAAACTTGTTTGTCTTGAAATTGTCTAAAGCGAAGACTTATGAAAATGAAATTAACCGAATGAAGGTTTAACAATAAAAACCGTGAGGTAAATTTAACACTTAACAACATATATGATGTTATTAACATATCTCCACCAGTTGTTCATCATCATCATTTGTTTAAATTAATTCAGTATGTTTTATTTCTTCATTCTTTTACCTAAAATTATGTTTAAAAAACAACCTTCATGTGTTATTTTAATCAGGCATTTCTGAAAAAGAGATCATAAAATCCTTGAAACAAATCTTTTAATCAATTCATTTAGTTTTTGTCAAAAAATGGAAACAAAAGAAACACAAAGATAAAATAAATATATATATAAATAAATGTTCTTCATTCATCCAGTTTTTTCGCACATTTACTAAGTTTGCAGCAGCTTTACTCCAACACAATGAATTTCTATAACTGTGACTAACTCAGCAGCAGAAAATAAACAGGAAGGCTCACCTAAGTAGATTCCACGATCCCCACAGACGAATAGGAGGTCACTGAGGAGCTCTGAGCCACAGCGGAGCTGGGCGGCCTCCAGGGAGAGGGGCCAACCTGCCAGAAACATGCTGCAGAGCAGGACGCAGATCCGAACACTCAGCACCTGAAACCAGAGGGAGATCGGTCAGGTTATGCCAAAGCAGTTAGTGATGCAGACACTGGACCTATGGCCCCTTCAGTATCTTGCAAATAGATTTTTTCTTTAATAAGTTTAAGGCAGAAGAAGGAAACTATTAGTAATGTCCTAAACTTCATTTCATCCCTGACCCATGAGAGGAAGGATGAATTGGTCAATAAATCCCAGATTTCTAAATACAGAACCACTATGACTGATGTCAAGCTAATGTGGATCAAACACATCCAGTGGTCACTGAGGACACTCAGCTCTCATCAGCGGCCTCATTTGGAGTGATCCTCTTTTTATGAAATCCCGTAGACTAGCAGCAAGCTTAATGCTTTTAAACCAAAGTACCAAATGTTGCACAGAAAGATTTCATACTGCTTTGGGGTTTTTTACTGAAGCAGTTTTAAGCAATGTTTTTATTCCATTTATATAAATGTATCTGAGTCAGAAAGATTTATCATAAACTTTCAAAACACAAACTAAAGAAGGGCTGCAGGACATTTAAATCTGGTTGGGATTTAAGAGAGAGATGAAAGTGACAAAGCATAAAGGATAAAGCAAAGCTTGCTGTTTGGAGAGTTTCTCTTTTTGCACCACTGATGGTCTGAAAATGAACCTCAATTTTTGCTCCTTATCGATTTTAATGAATGCAAACTCTGTTCTTTTCTACAGTGAAGAGAGTAGAGCTTCAGAGGCATGAATGTTGCAGAAGCAGCTGGAAGAACATCAATAATAGTATAACTGAGACGAGATGTTTATGCATTTTCTTATCCTACAGTGATGATTTGATGTGCATGAAAACATGATAATCAGATGTTTGTTCTATAAGCCTGGCATCATATTTATCAGAAATACCAGCAGCATCTTCATTTTTCAGCTCAGATTTCCCACATGGATCTAAATGATTTTCCTGGAATTAGCCAGCACAGTTTCCAAACCAGATGGATGAAATTTTTCTAAAAAAAAATGTGGCATGATTTACACTTTGAGTTCATCAAAGATGAACATTTATCTTTTCCCTGTTTTTCTTTTCGTATTTCCGAACCTTTTCATTGATCCATAACTGACTTTTTTTTTTATGAATAATTACTTTTCAGGAGTTAACGCCAAAGTAACACTTCCAGAGCTGCAGTGACACATGACCATCTGTCAGCAGCTTTGAAGGTTTCAACTTATTTTTCCAGCACGTCATTTATCTTTTCACAGCAAGAGAGATGAACATCCTCAGCAGATGATCTTTTTTTCTGCTTTAAAGCTCAACAGGAGTGGAGGTAGCTTACCTTGAGTGTGAGTGTTGGAGCAGCGTAGCAGCATGAAGAGGGCATCCTGTCTGGTTGGACGGACTTCAGCAGACCTGCAGACTTATACTGAGGGAAGCTGGAGGGGAGGTCAACAGAACCAGGCTTCCTCCCTCCTCCTCTTCTGACGTAGTTTTATGTTCGGATCTCATCCCAAACTGCTATCAGATTATTTACTCTGTCATATCATTGTAACAAGGAACTAACAGGATTCCTTATTTTTCTAGCATCGGAGCGAGAACTGAGAGGGGGGAGCCATCAGTTCAGTAGCTTTTATTTGTCCCAGTATGGGCAATTTTTGTGCACTAGTAGTACACCTTTCACACACACGTTCACATTTCGCAAAATCACAGATTAAAAATAAAAAAGAAACACATAAAATATTTAAAAAAGATAAAAGTAAGGTGGATAAAAGAGAGAAAAAAAAATTGTTTGCAGCCATCAATGTTCAGGCAGAATAATTAGCGTTCATAGAGGTCCAGGTTCTGTAACTGGGAAAGAGAACATAAAGGCTCTTCCATATGTTTGTTTTTAAAGGCGATTTTAAAGCAGAGCTATAATTATTCTTCTATACCTTCTTCATAGAAAAAGATTCAGCAACAGCAGAATATTACCTACAAACATGTTCGTTCAGTTTAACTGGGTTTCTCTAAAGGTCCAAACCAAACAAACATGGTTCTGGTGCAAAGTTCAGATCCAGATCCAGTTGCTACTTTGCTTCCTAACATTTTTCCTGTAAAATGTTTTTTTCTTCAATCTGTAAAAGCTTTTCTTTGGACCTTGACTGCTTTTTCTCTCCAATATCTGATTCAGTCTGATTTTTGAATCATTCAGACAAACTCCAATGTGTTTACAAAAATGGAGAAATAAGCAAAGTCTTGATTCCAAATACAATCTTTAATCACTCACTTTTTCCCAGCAACTGAGGCTGAATCTATGAAAATACAAAAAATAATTACTGTCCAACAGAACTGAAAACTTGAACGTGGCATTCAGTCTGTTAACTGAAGGATCCATCAGATTTCCTTCCTCTGTCTGATACAAGTGATTGGGTTTTTGACATGTTTTTGTTCCTTTTTGGATCATCTTTGGGGACGTGCTGTAGGGAATTATAAAATGCTTATAGAAAAGAACGGTAAACAAAACAAATATAAGGAGGCAGGCTGACAACAATAAGAAATGAGATTCAGAAAAACAAAAATACCAAGTGACGAGGACCACTTTAAGGTTAAAATAAAAATATAAGGACTGTTTTCTTAGCATGTCAAAAAAAAAAAAAAAAATCAAGCATGAGATCACAGCTGAGAATTGGACCAGATTATAAACCCATGTATACAAACAGCAGCTGGTTCACCATCCACTCCAATATTAGCATGAGCTGTCAGTATTTCTCCTTTCTTGTAATATTATAAAACCTTTTGTCCATACTGTGTTTTATTAAATCCTGTAAAACAGGACACAGATCTGCTGAATGAGATGATGCTATAATAAGAGCACTAGTGTGAATCTGCTGCCCTCTGCTGACTGAAATATGTAAAACAGAGAGGATCCTGTGCTTTAGGTCCAATCCCTAACTGGCCCCTAAACACTAACCCTGAGCACCAACCCTCTGCTTGCAGGTTTCCATGGAGGGTCTGCAACATTAAGAGCCATCTCAAACTGCGTAGTGCATAGATGAGTGGATCGTTCATCCCCTAAATAGCCAGTCAGCCTCATTGCAGGCTCGCTGGAACATAAAAATATTGGTAGACGCCTCCCTGGCAGCGAGACCGACGTGCCTAGAGGGCGGCCATCTTGGATCAGACCACAGTTCAGGCAGAATGAACAGTAGGCGTCTTAGATCTCATTTTAATCACATGAAAGACAAGTCAGAAATATTAAAATAATCTCTTACATATCACAGCCACTTAAAAGACCAAAAAGAAATTTAAAGTTACCCCTCAGATTACGCATATTCATTCAGATTAAAAACTATTTAAACTGAACTCAAACTGGATGAGATAAATGCAAGTTATACAAGTTATATAAATTTTCAATTAATTAACTTATTAAATTAAGTTAATTTTTATTTTTTGTTATTGTGAAGACTTGTCAAATCGTAGTAAATGGTAAATATATGTTGTGTCTAACTAAAGGCTTTTTGTCCTTATAAGGCAAGTAAATTGTTGAACCTCGCCTGTTCAGTCAGGGCAACAATTCCCTTTAACTCCCTTTCAAAACAATAGACCAGTATCGGGTATTACAGGCTAACAAAGAAACCAAATGACCCCCATTCTAAAGTGGCGGACCTGTTCATTTGGTTCAATTTGCATGTTTTCAAAGTCAAAACAAGGCTTAGAAAACTCTCACTCTATAAAGCTCTGGAACTCAACCCTATTTCTGACATTTCGAACTGAAAAAGCTTCCTGGATGGGAAGCAAAACATCTTCAAACTTGGAAACAAAGTCCAGTGGATTATTTTTTAACCTTTTTAGAATATAGACCATTAATATAATAATTTTTTGATTACAAATTATCCCCTGGATGATCAATTAAACAGAAGCTTATGTAGGTTTGTGATTTGGGGATGAAATGGCAATGCACAGGAGCCTGTTCATCGCATTTCTGCTTTTTTGCTTAAAGGGGAATTTCAAATTTATTTTTTTTTAGGTTATATCAAAGTAACGTCTTCCTATGGGCAATGACTTGAAGGCACAAACTAAACTGTTCATAAATTATCATTTATGGTACGCCAGCATTCATAACGTAGGTGAATCACTGTCCCCCAGACATCTGCGGTTATATTTTTTATATTTATATCTTTTAAAAACAAATGCGGCGCGTGTATGACATCACCCACACGCGCCGGCTACCGTTCATTCTCCCTGTCCGCTGAACTGCAGCTAGTTTTTTTTTTTTTTACAGTGTCCTGTCTGGCAATGTGGCA